GACTAACACGGCTGCTACTCTGAAACCTTTTAAAATTGTAAGCGGACCTTTGAAATTTCCAGGGGGGTTTCCTGCAGGTGAGGGGCTCGGGAGGGAAGCCTGGGATCTGGGCCAAAGAGCAGCCGGCCGGCCGGCCGGCAGGTGACTGTGTCTCTCTGCCTTAGGCAGCAGCCTGCGTCATGTCTCTGTCTCGGGACCCTTGTGTGTCGTCGTTCCGAATGCGGAGAACGAGCGTTACGGGGCGATGTTCCCGCAGACGATATTTATGTTTTTAATCTAAATCTGTGTGTGTATGTGTGTGCGTGTGCGCGCCATGAACAGAATGCTTCCTTCTGGCTTTAACCATCGCCTCCGTGCAGATTCCCAAGGCCAGATCCTCACCTGGCATCGAGCTGCGTATGGAGTCGGTAGAGAACGCTCCTGCAAAGGACTCTGCGGTGGGCATGAAGTGGAGCAGAACGAAAGCTTTTCCCGTCCCCGTCGGTGTTTCTGAGCCACGCTGGGGAGGGCAGCCCCCCGTTGTCACAGCCCGGTTTCAAGCTCGGTAACTAAACCAGCCGAAGACTTGGGGAGACGAGGTAAGGCTGAAAGAACAACCTGCTTCAGTGAAGGGGAAACGTTAGCCGCCTTCGCTGAATAAAGGAGGGAGGGTGGTCGTGGGCTAGGCCCCAGCCTGGCAACTCGGACACCTGGGTTCTGTTCCCAGCTCTTCGGGGCAAGTCATTTGCTTCCTCCATGGCTCGTCTGGAAGATGGAGGCAGTTGGGACGGGAGGGGGTTGGGCGTCTGAGCGAGTGCAGGCCCGGGACCTCCACTGATGAAAGGCTGAGTTCGGAGAGGAAGGGCACAACGCTCGGCTAGGACTCGGGAGACCTGGGGCAAGCCTCCCGCCCTGCCTGTGAGGAGAAATATGTCGCGGAGCTTGGATTCTGCAGGACCAGGGGCCCGGGAAGTACCTGAGCTAGATGGGAGCTTCGGGGCTTTGTGGGGGGATCTCAGCCAAGTCACCGAGCGCCCCTGGGTCCCGTTTCCCCGAGGGTCCGGCTTCCCCATCCAGGCTGCGTCCAGCTTGGGCCAGTGCGGGTGAGATTTGCCCGAACGCTATTGCTGTCCTTGGCCTCTTCTCCATCCCCCCTGGAGGCCTGGCCTAACGGGGCGCTGAGCATGAACGTGGCCATGCGACATGTCCTCAGGGGAGCCCAGACCCCACCTCCATCACATCACCCCCTTCCACCGCCCTGAGACTCCCAGCGAACATGCCCCGTCCGGAGCCCCTCTTGGCCTCCACGCTGTCCTGACCATCAGGGCTCACCCTCTCTGCCCCCCGCATCCTGCCCCTCCATCATCCTCCGGCACTGTCGAGTGGCCAGAGGCGCCTGACCGTGTCTCAGTTTCCTTCGTGGTGCATGGTGCTTCCTGGCCCCGTCAGCGGCCGCGATGGATCCTGCCAGCCTTGCACTAATGATCTTCCTTCTATTGTCTTCCTCGGCATCTCTAGACTTCCACAGCTCAGCAGGGAAGCGGGGACCCCAGGCCAGGGACGGGCTGGACTGATGGACTCCCCAACAGCAGCACCAATGGAGCCCGGAAATGCTGGGTGACTCCTGGAGAGTGGGGGAAGCTGACGGGTAGATCCAGGTCGGGATCCAGGCTCAATGCAGGTTTCTTGCCCCAGGCTTGGCACCTTCCAACCTTCCTCTTAGCTCTAGGCAGGGCTCACGGCCCCCCTGGAGACAGTGAGATCAGCCCCCCCCCCAAGCTCAATAGACCCCCCGCTCTAGCTGAGTCTAAGCCGTGCCAGGTGAGGTGCTTCCAGCTTCCGGGGATCTGGGCTAGTTGCTATCTGCGAGCCCTGGTGCGAGCTTTGAAAGCAAAGTGCAGCCCAAATGCCCCATGTTTTGGGGTCAGAACCCCACTGAATTGCTCCGTGTTTCCCCCAGTGAGTGCGAATCAGATCCCAGCCCCGATTCGCCAGCCTTTGCCTCAATTCTCCGTTTGGACAATGGGGGCTGTCATTCCCGATTTAGACCGTCAATTCTCCAGGGCAGGGACTGCCCCTTAGTATGTATTTGTGCTCGTCCTAGCAAGCCGGGGCCCCAAACTTGGCTGAGGCCTCGAGGGGCTGCTATGATCCAAAGAATCATTGTCATCGTTCATGCCCGTTGTGACGGTGCTGCCCGTGGGAGCCAGCTGAGGTAACTCAGTTACGGTGAACTGCAAACAGAACGGGGCAGACAAACCCCAAACGCTGGTGGATCTTCCAGTGCTTAGATTTACCAACCAGCTTCTCTAGTATCGCACTGGTTACTCAGAGTCCAGACAACGCAGTTCCCTTAAAGTGCCCAGTCTCAGGCCTCCAGCCAGACACACGTCACATATGATGATAAATTCTGAAAATCTGATCTCATCATATAAAAAAAAAGGTTCTTCCAATCCCAAAGGACCAGCCACACACCCAGGTCCAATTATAACTTAAATCTTACCCAAAATATACGCTTCAGTTCTTGTTAACTAAACTAAAATTGATTAAAAAAGAAAAGAGAGAGAGTGTTGGTTAAAAGATCAATATACAGACAGACTTGAGTTCAATTCTTGAGCTTCAGATACACAGCAGAGATGAGCTTGTAGGTTGCCAGAAGTCCTTTTAGAAATAGTCCATGGGTTATAGTCCAATGTCCATATTCAGGGTGACTCCAGTCAGTGACTGGGGATCTCAATCCTTGTGGCTTAAGGTTTCCCGCTCTTGAAACCCAAAGCAGATCTGAGATGAAGAAGGACTCAGGGTTTTTATACATTTCCAGCAGCCTTTTGGCCTGAGAAAACAATAGACTTAACTTTCCTTCTCCTAAACATCATGGCAATTAGCACAGGGTATCCATTAAACAGTTCAGATACAGGTTACCACAACCTTCAAAGAGACAGAGAGACAATAATACTATTTCACTCAAGAATCTTCCTAATTTTAATACTCCTTTTTTTGATCTTTGAATCAAAGCTATAGCAATAGACAAGCCTTGTTTGCTTCCATCACAAGCCCTGAGCAAACATCTCCCCTTCTACCTCTAACACTGCAGGCTGCATTTCAAAGCTCTGTTCATTTAGGATCTTCCTAGCCAGTCTCTAAAGTTGGGCCATGGGTCAGGTCAGTCTGAGAGGTAATTAACTCTTTCTGGCCCTGTCACCTTTCCATGAGAGATTATATTACACTCATCATGTCACACCCGTGGTGACCTTTTCGCCTGCTGGTTTAGCAGAATTAGGAGGCTGAGCCGATCACCTCTTTTTCCCTGGGGAAGGCAGAGCACTTGCATTCAGAGACCCCCGAATCATCACAAGTGGCTGGTATCACTTAAAACTCTTCACTGCCACTTAATCCTGGAGGAATGACCAACCTGCCTGCAGGCTTTAGGGACATGGGCACTGCCAAACCGGATTTAACCCAGTGCCCCATCTCCATCAGTAGCCAGGACCACCTGGTTTAGAGACAAGTGCAAGGAACCTTGCAAGAGGCAGCTGTAGGGTAACCTGTGCCTTCGGCTAGTTTCCTCCTGACCCCTGTAGTTAGAGCTCAGTTCGTGCCCTGGAGCATCAGGGTTTATTGCCTAAAATCTTGCTTATTTTTACATTGACTCTAGCGATTCTTATCACCCATTGAAATACCTTGATCTCGGGGGAAGAGACTGAGCAAGGGGAACCCTGGATCAACCGTCTCTTGCCCATTTGCTATTTTCTAGATCTGTTATTCTCCTTAGCAGTCGTGATTTGTGGTGCCCGGTAGCCTCATTCGTGGACCAGCACCCCGTTGCCCTAAGGGCTGTACAAACACACAACAAAACTATTGTCCGTCCTCAAAGATTTTCTAATCTAAGTGATATCCTGTCCCTTTGTGTCCGTCTCCTCTCTGAGGGAAACAGCCCCTGTTCTTTTATGTGAAGCAGACGCCAGATGCAGAGAGGATTTTCCAAATGCTGGGCAGACAGATGACTCGGTAGCATCCTGGGTCTCCAAAATCCCACACCTGGGGGCTGCTAGCTCAGGCAGAGACGGCCAGGTAAAGAGATTGCTTGCAGCTTTTTCAGACCACCTAGTGGTGGGCCCCTCTCCTTGGAAACGTTAGTAACCTGCACATCTACCAATGTGATATATGCCATCATGTGCCAGCAATGCCCCTCTGCCATGTACATTGGCCAAACCGGACAGGCTCTACGCAAAAGAACAAATGGACACAAATCGGACGTCAAGAATTCAAAAACCAGTCGGAGAACACTTCAGCCTCTCTGGTCACTCAATTACAGACCTCAAAGTCGCCATACTCCAACAAAAAAACTTCAAAAACAGACGCCAACGAGAAACTTCAGAACTGGAATTAATTTGCAAACTGGACACTATTCAATTAGGCTTGAATAAAGACTGGGAGTGGATGGGTCATTACACAAACTAAAAACTCTTTCCCCATGCTTGGTTCCCCTCCCCCCCCCCACTCGTTA